AAGCCCAAACCACACCCACTGCTGTGAAGTCAATTCTGACCCACAGCGCCCCTAGAGGACAGAGTGGAACTGCCCACAGGGTCTCCCAGGCTGTCAATCTTCACTGAAGCAAAGCCCAAACCACACCCACTGCCGGGGAGTTGATTCCAACTGTCCCTGGGGAACAGAGTGGAACTGCCCATCAAGCACAGATTCAGTGCTCCTACCTAACTTTCTTCAATTATCCCATATACCACACTGTATGTATTCACCATTTCCTGAGTGAGAACACTCGAAGCATTGCCTCACCACAGCCACCAGGGGCAGTATAAGGGAGGTATTCTTAGGAGCTCCGGTGGTGCAATGGTTAAGGCATTGGGCTGCTAACCAGAAGGCTGGTGGTTGGAATCCACCAGCCACTCTGCAGAAGAAAGATGAGGCAGTCGGCTTCTATAAAGATTACAGCCTTGGGGACCCTGTGGGGCAGTTCCACTCTGTCCTCTAGGGGTGCTGTGGGTCAGAATGGACTCCAGGCAGTGGGTGTGGTTTGGGCTTTGCTTCCGTGACGACTGACAGCCTGGGAGACCCTGTGGGCAGTTCCACTCTGTCCTCTAGGGGCGCTGTGGGTCAGAATCCACTCCAGGGCAAGAGCACTGGGTTGGGTAACATAAACAGTTAAGCACTTGGCTACTAACCAGAAGGTTCCTGGTTCGAATCAATGCAGAGGCACCTTGGCAGAAAGCCTGGCAGTCTACTTTTCGGCCACTGAAAATCCACCGCAGCAGCTCTGGTCTGCACACATGGTGTCACCATGAGTCGGAATTGACTCAACAGTAGGTTCCTTTGTTTCATTAAGTCACACGGCACTTGTTGGCAGACATGGAACTAGAAACCAGAAGTCCCTCTCAGAGCACAGGCAGCTTTCCCTACTAATCCGTTTGGAAATGTGACTGTCTCATGGTGGCCATCCAGGCAGAGTAAGAGCTGGGTGGGGAGCCAATCTGGGCCTGGAGCCTGGTGGGTATGTTCCTCCTCCCACGCCCCTCCGCCTGCAGACCGGGTGCCCCCATCACGGGCATGCAGGGGGTCCGCAGGAAGCACTTACCTTCCCAGCATGACGGCCAGGGGTCCTGCAAGTAGGGCCCCACAGAGGCCCCCCAGGGAGAACAGAGACACGATGAGCGACCACACTAGCAGAACCCCGTGGTCGGGCAGTGGCTTGCCAGTCCGCGCCTGCCAGGTGGCATTGGTGAAGTCCTGAATGTGCTGGGGGCAAAGATGAGGACAGTCAGCCCCCCAGAGAGGGGGCGCCACAGACAGGCTCCCCTCCCGCAGGGCTCAGGAACAAACTCGCCCGAGTGCCCACTGCAAGCAGGGCCCTGTCTGGCTTCTTCCACACATAGCACCACCCTCAGCCAAATGCAGGGCTCTGTGCTGGCCCCCCGGCCTTGCATCACCCCGCCCGCCCTGCTTTGGTCCTGGAGGCTGATTTCACAAGCTTCACTGAGGTCCCTTGCTGAGTGGCTTTGCTGGACTTGGCCAATGGCAACCACAAGCAGCACATCCAAGGACTCAGAGAAGGAAGAGGGGTGTTGGTTCTCCCAGCTCCCTCCTGGCTGTGACCCTCAACCAAGGGTCACCGTTCCTCTTAAGGACAGTCCTTTCCTAAACCAAAGCCGCATGGCAACCATTAGTCCAAGAGACTAGTGGACAATACGAACTCAGCCTATGACCATGAGACCAGAAGAACTAGATGGTGCCTGGCTCCCACAGTCAACCACTCAGGGGCGGATCAGTGCAGGAGATCCCGGATGGAGTAGGGGAACAATGTGGAACAAAACTCAAAATCATTTATAAAAAAAAAAGGGCCAGGTTTGCTAGTCTGATGGAGCCTGGTGGACCCCCTGAGACTATGGCCCCTAGGTGCCCTTCAGGTCTGGAATTGAACCCATTCCCACGGCTTCCAGCCAAACAACAGACAGGCATATGGGGTGAACACTGACTTCAGGTAGATACACTCCTTGGAGCAATCAGTCACGGGAGATCAGAAGGGCAGTGTTTGCTCAGGGAGACAGCTCAGGGGGTGGGAGTGCATGGAGGGAAGGACACAGGGAAGAGGTAACTATGGGGAGGAAGTGGGAGGGGAGCTGTTACCTGGTGGGGAATTGCAGTCAATGTCATGAAACAAAATGTGTGTGAGGTGCTGTATGGAAAATGAATTTGCTCTGTCAACTTTTACCCAAATCATAACAAAAATTTTTTTTAAAAAAAGTACGGCTCTTTCCTTCTGGGTTCCATAATTACTTCTTCTCTTCGTCTCTTTGGGAACTGGAGGTGTGAACACCACCAGTGTAACCAGGTCTGCCTCACTGCCTCCTCCCTGGTCCTGTGTTCTCAGGCTCCCTGCGTGGCGCAGAGGGGAGCGCTCTCCGCTGCTGACCCAAAGGTGGGCGGTGGGCCCCACCCCGAGGCGCCTCCGAAGCCTGGTGAACCACTTCTGAGAAAATCAGGCAGCTGCACCGACCCGTGGGGTCACCACGAGTCAGGATCAGTTGGTGGGAAGTCAGCGCCCCACTCGGTGCTTTGTGACGCTCTGTTCTCTGGCATCTAAGCCTGCTAGCTGTCTCCTGAGAGTGGTGTCTGTTGTTTTGGGACCCTGTCTGAAACAAGCCCTCGTTTCTGACGGAGACACATTGGTCGCAACATGAGGTGCTTTACGTGGCCTTCTGCCTCGGTTCTTTGCATAAACCGCTTGGGAGACTTGGACCCTGAATCCTAAGATGCCGCCTTCACCCTCGTGCTCTGGTGAAGCTCCGCGGGGCCCTCCCCGAGAGCTGTCCACGCTAGATGGTCTGTCACGTTCACCCAGGGAGGAGCCTGTCTCCACCGGCAGGAAACGTTCCTTTCATCTGAGACCTAACTTGACATCTCATGGGCTTGTGACTCTCTCAAAATGATTGGCTGGACCTCAATCTTGCAAGGGATTGGTCAACTAAGTACTCCAACGTTGTCGTTGTGCGCCATGGAGCTGATCCCAACTCATGGTGGTGGTGTCAGGTGCCATCGAGTTGGCTCTGACTCACAGCGACCCCACGTACAACAGAACAAAACACTGCCTGGGCCTGGGCCAGCCTCACAATCCTTGCTACACCTCAGCCCTCTGCTGCAGCCACCACGTCAGTCCACCTCGTTGAGGGCCTTCCCATTTTTCTCTGACCCTCCACTTCACCAAGCATGACATCCTTCTCCAGGGAATGGTCCCTTCTGACAACGTGACCAAAGAAGGTGAGAAGTCTGACTGCTCTCACTTCCAAGGAGCATTCCGGCTGCACTTCTTCCAGGACAGATCTGTTAGTTCTTTTAGCAGTCCATGGTACTCTCAGCATTCTTCGCCAGCACCACAACTCAAAAGCATCAACTCTTCTTCGGTCTTCCTTATTCACTGTCCAGCTCTCACATGCTTATGAGTTGACTGAAAATACCATGGTTTGGGTCAGGTGCACCTTAGTCTTCAAACCTGCTGCAAAAGCCCCCTTTAAAGTGCTAAAGAGCAAAGATGTCTCTTTGAAGACTAAGGCGCACCTATCCCAAGCCATGGTGTTTTCCAACCCATAGAGACCACAGATCACAGACATGAAGTGCCCCACAGGGTTTTCCAGGCTGTAATTCCCCTTACTCCAGGCTTTTGTGTGTGGGGGTGTGTGTGTGTGTGGTGAAAACATACACAAGACATTCCCCAAGAAAGCCACTTCCCTGTTGACAGCTCGAGGACACTGATGACATCTTTCATGTCGTGGCACCATTACTGCCATAGTTTTCCACAACATCCCACCACCATCAGCATCAACTCAGGCTGTAGGCTTTACGGGGGCAGCAGTCAGCAGGTCTTTCCCCCCACGGAGCTGCTGGTGGGTTTGGATCACCAACGTTTTGGCTGGCGGCCAAGTGTTTAAACCATGGCACCAACCGGGATGGCTGGCAAATCCACCCAGTGAGGCTGACTGAGTCATGGTGCAGCAAAGGGATTGGGGGAGGGGGTTCGCGGTCCTGCTGGGAGGGCGTGGTAGTTCAGGCTGGGCTGGGCCTGCTTCTGAGTGGCTGGGCAGCTGGATCGAGTGATTCCCCGGGATGAGCCTGGTCGTCAGCTCCACGGTGGGATCCATTGGAGCAGGTGAGCAGCTGCCTGAGGGATGTGGGCTGCTTCCAGCATCTAAGGAGACGCTTTGGCAACGGTCCGGAGCTTTGTGGCGCACGTGGACCCCGCACGTAGCTGAGTCTTCATCTCAATGCCCTACCACATTGTCTGCCAATCTGAAAACTGTTAATGGACTTGGATTAGTGGCCTGCATGTTGTCTGCTAATCTGGGAACTGTGCCGTTTGACTTGTCGACCTTGGGTTTGTCAGCCTCAGCAGCCAGCAGCTGCCTGAGTTAGGAGAAACTTCCCACTTCCGTGGGCCGGGAGCAAGAGGCAGAGCTGAAGCCTAAGGCTGAGGGGCCTTTACCCAGCCCCCAGAGCTGGCACTTTGAA